AAAGCCCCATAAAATTGATACAGATTTTATCTTTGGAACCGGGCTTCTGTGATATTTCTTGAAGTTTCCTTCCCGTAAAATTTTTGAGATTTTCCCGTAAAAGTTACATATTTTCCATATTGGTCCACTGTATCTTGCCATGTTTTATAGTCCGTGCGTGCTAATACCATTCAAAGGGATACAATGTAGTCAATTGTTTCTGAATATTTGTCACAGAATCTGCATTTCAGGGCAACACAATTTTTCAGTGTGTGTTTGGTAATTTCTGTTTAGTTAGCATTATTCCTGTGCAACAAGAATAAAACATTTGGTTTCAGCTTTTAACCCTACACTACGTAGCTACTGATGTATACACTTCTTCTTCTTTTTCTTGTTATTATTATAGTGATTTTCCAAGTGTAGCTTAGATGCTGTACAAGGCCGGAAGCATGGGGCACCCTGTGGGGATCGAACTCACTATTCAGCCGTAACCGTTTTAGAGAGACGAGCTTGCCGACAATTACACCACGCCGAGGTGCCCTTTCTTCTTCTTCTTCTTCTTCTTCTTATTATTATTATTATTATTATTATTATTATTATTATTATTATTATTATTATTATTATTATTCACATTTTACAATGAGTATCAAAGTTTAGTAGTATCATAGCGTAAATATAAAACAGTGTTTACTTAAAATTCCATGTTTTGATAATCGTCTATACTAAGGACTTTTCTTCGGCGGTTAAGTTCACTTTTTAATTTTTCATAGAGTTAGCTATGGATTTCACTATCGATAGGTTAATCTAGAATTTTCCGAGGTATTCAAGTATCCAACTCTGAGGAATCGTGATACATGCCAATTCTATATTCACTCTATCCCACCAAACAGTTTTTTTCTTTATGACCCTGAATGTTTTATGGTCATCTGGTCAATTATAGAACGGATCGTTTGCTCCTTTGCTTTATCTCCAGGAATCCTTTCTGTTCAACGAAGAATCCTCTGCTTTTCCGAGATTCATATAGACTTTTTCTGCTATTTCTCCAGTTAAGATTTTTCCACACCAATGGTATTTATGGAATCGGTCTATACATGTACACCGAGATTCCTTTTTTTGGCGTCTTTTTGAATGAGGAATGTTCTGTTTCTGTTCATGCATTCTGTAGATTCTTTCTTTTGGCCTTTTTTTGAAACTGCAGTTCACGTTTCCCGTGTAGAATAGGAACTTAAATCAATATCTAGAGTTTCATCAGGTCCGAGTATCTACTTTTTAAAAAGTGTATTTTTAGAATACATGTATTTAACTTTGTGCTTTTTTTTCCCTTCTAGTTTCCAAATATCTTTATTGACTATGTTGGGACGTCTTTTTTTTTTCGTAAGCATCCGGAAGAGGGGAAGAGAGTTAAAATATCTAGGGAACATAATAAGAAAAGAGGGCTTGGAAAATCTGATACTCACAGGGCAGATTGAAGGCAAAAGAGACAGAAGAAAACAACGCATCAGCCGGAATAAATGCGTGGCAGAACAGGGTTTATCAGAGGTAACAAGACAAAATTTATTAAAATCTATAAAGGACAGGAAATTGTGGAGAGCCTACGTTCTGAGAGGCGGGGTACGGCATGAAGAAGAAGAAGAAGAAGAAGAAGAAGAAGAGGAAGAAGAGGAAGAGGAAGAAGAGGAAGAAGAAGAGGAAGAAGAAGAAGAGGAAGAAGATTTTTTGGTTTAGTTTGTTTTACGGCATATCAACCTCAATGAGTTATTTAATGCTGATAAGATTTTTATTGCTGGTAATATTTTTTCCCAAAAATCTATTGCTGGCAATATTTTTTTCCAAAAATGTATTGCTGGTAATATTTTTTCCAAAAAGTATTATAAGAATATTTTGCTGGTATTAAAACCTATTTTTTCACGTTTGACCACAGTTTGGGGGTTAACTATTTGCCCATAGCTGGGTCCCTAACATGTGCTACTACCCCAGGTCAGTGTGGACCTGGGAACACCAGCAATTAAGAGGTGGTTCCACGCTCCTCAAGACCTACTGATCAGAGGCCTTGCGTCGGATTTAGTTTATCGTCTTACCCTAGACGCGGATGTAGTTAATGCTAGTTTTGGAATGTATGATTTTTCATATGTTGAGCAATTAATTTATTTGTAACTCGTTCGTTTTAATTCTTTAACGTGCCTTTTTTGGGATTATTCCTTCTTATCTTGTGGGTGTCCCATAATCTGAGTTGTGGTCTGTTATTGCAAGAAGTGTCTGTTATTAGCCTTGCGTCTCTTTGCAATTTGAATATCTGTCTTTCTTGAATATCTTGTTTCTCAAGCAGACCTTATTTTCCCTGCTAGTGGAGGTTTATTTTTACGCTATAAGCATTTCGATTGTCATATCTTTTGGTTCAATAAATTCTAACAGCCCATCGACATGTTCGATTGCTGCTTTTACTTGTTCAGGTCTTTGCTTTTCACGTGTTGTAAGGTGGGTTTTTTTTCCATCGATTTCTTTAGGATTTTCACTTGGTTTTCTCTCCTGTCAGTTAAGGTGGCTGTTTCTGCATCTTGTCTCTTGTTTCTTTATAGGTCTAATTTTTCCTTAGTTCTTATTTCATTGATTTTGGGTTTGGCATTCTAATCCATTTCTCCAGAGACAAGTCACGTTCTTCATTGTCGATTCTTTTACGGATTTCCAGCAGCTTATGATCAGATATCCAAATTTTCTTTCAGAATTTGTTTTGCTTCTACTGCGGTTTTGTCTCGTCGGATTACATCCATTGTCTATAGTCTCTTTTCACTTCTTTTTTTTTTTTACTATTTTCTGCGTCGTTGATCAGCAGCCACTTTATAATGACTGTGTCCCTACAGTAGGCTATACAGGAAGCCAACAGTCACAGGGTCCACCCTGGAGATAATCTAGAGAGCGGGGAATTTTGAATTTGTATCTAATCATGACCTCTATCGATAAAAGGCAGGATGTGTGTGTGTGTGTGTGTGTGTCTGTGTGTAACGAATGCACGGCCGCAATTTTCGACGGATTTGCACCAAAATTTACATGCACATGCTCCAACGTTGCGGAAAGGGCAAGATCGAGTTTGCATTTCCCAACTCCCATCGATAGTGGAAATAATCAATTTTTTTCATGCTTCTACCGCACTTTTCATGTAGTTTGCGGCCATTTTGTACTGGACAGAGTGAGAGCCAATAGCTGGCTGCCACGAATAAGCAGGAAGATTCTATAGGTCAGGGTGAGAGTCAATAGCTGACTGACACGAATGTTAAATAGCATGCTAGCACGCAAAAAAATTGATAGCTGCATTCGTCACAAGTGGGAAAAATTTAAATCTGCATGGCACTTTACTCCAATTGGCTCATTCGCTTGCTTAAACTCAACGTTGATTCTGATTCTGCAAAACTGGGTTGGGTGTGAAAAAGTATTTGCTGTTAACATTCTTTTTTCATTCAGTTTTTCCAGTTACGGGTCCTTTTTTTAAAGCTGATCGTTTTGTGTTCATTTTGTTTAGTTCTTTTTTCGTAACAGATTTAATGTTTAGTATAGAGCTTAGAAAAAAATCGCAGTGTGAGATAGGCAAGAAGTAAGGCATGTAGCAACATCAGCATGGAAAAGGGCACTCCTTTAAAGGCAAGGAAGGGCAAAAATATTTTAAGTCAAGTGATAGCGATTGCTGTTTGAGTCGTACGATTTTTTAATCAAGCACGGGCAACGCCGGGCCATGCTGCTAGTTGGTTATGTAATTTATGACTTTTCTGAGTAATAGCGACTTTGAGGTTACAATAAACTAAGTATAATGGATTAGTTTACCGCCAGTCACGTTGAACGAATGTCTCCTTGGGATCGCTCCACGCCTTGAGAGACTATTAGAATGTAAACTCATTCCTGACCCCAAGGGAAACTCTTGCATACGACCAATCACTAAAAATGCAGGAAAAATGGTACCACTCCAGTAAGTACCTGTCTCCGTATCCTATCCTCTGCCTTTACAAGAGCCAGATCAGACCGAGTACAGTTGCCAAAATTTGGGCGGGAGCTACCAAGACCTCACTTTCCAGTCTTGATAGAGTTCAAAAGCTTCTCCGATATCTTGTTGGAGAAGAATTATTTTTTGCACTCCAACTTCTCTCGTAGAGGTGGGATGTGGCGAGACTCTTACTGCTCTGTTGATACTTCCATGAGAAGTGCATTCCCTGGTCCCGCCATTTCGAACCTTCACGGCCAGGGCACGCCATGTCACTTACATAGTAGCAAAACATCCACATCCCCCCCCGTATTACACCGTAAGAAGTCAGTTCCACTCGAAAAGCATCTTCTCGCGAACCACTTCCCTATGGAACCGACTCCCAAAAGGATATTTCCCAATAACTACAATGCTAATCTGTTCAGTTCTAGGGTTAAACGTTATCTCCCCTTCCTATCCATATAAACTGCTTCTTAACGTAACCCTCTATCTCGGGTAGCTTTCTTGTAAAGGGCGAACTTTATTGTAAAAAAAAAGCTAGTATTGTTTTCAATCTTGGTAACCTCGTAGATTAGAAGATAAGGAAATCCAATCTATCATGGTAATGTTTTCGTTTTTAATTTAATTTTTTTTCTTGATCCTCTGCAACCTCTTCATTCGTTTTTGCGAGAAAGTTTTATTTGTTTGTACATCGTACTGAGAGGCACAATGGAGTAATGAATAGCGACTCGGACTGAGGAATCGGTAGAGGCGAGTTCAAGTCCCAGTTGCATTCACTTATGTACTAATACCCTTGAGAAAAGTATGAATCCTTTTCTCCTCTCCCCAGCTATGGGTAAATAGACCGGTTTCTTTTACCGCAGAAAAAATGGCAACATACTGCGGGGCAAAATCTGCCTCGTCCGTCATGTATCGAAAGATACATGATCACCTAAGCGTGTATCACGCATGGCACATAACTGACTGACTAATCGTATTAACGCAATGTTAATTTTGATCGTGTTCGTAGCATTTAAGTTTGATTTTTTTCGTTTTCTGACAACTATGTAGGGATATGCGTTCGCATTTTGAAGGAATTGGTATTCAGACTTATACTAAGTTTGAACTTAATTATTTGTTATTCTATTCTTTTTGCCCGTCCAGCGTATGCCTGCATATTTGTATCGGGGCATCTGTGGAACGCGTTTCTACTCCCCAGATGAGTTATCGCAAAGAAACTCGTCCTTTGAAATAATTTATCTGGAAGTCAAGGCTGTAATTAATTTTCCAGTTTTGTATCGTATAGAACAGAAAATTAACAATTTGATTCTGATAGTTTGCTACTGTGCTGTAATAATTCTTCTTCTTCTTCTTCTTCTTCTTCTTCTTCTTCTTCTTCTTCTTCTTCTTCTCCGCCTCCTCCTCCTCTTCTTCTTCTTCTTCTTCTTCTCCTCCTCTTCTTCTTCTTCTCCTCTTCTTCTTCTTCTTCTTCTTCTTCTTATTATTATTATTATTGTCTTTCATTTCTGGTGTATACTCATTTCTTTCCGGTCCCAGTCAGAGACCCAAGGTTAAAAATTGCATCATGACATTTTCCAAAAACCCTCAAAAACCTAAGTTAACAAATATTTTACATAGATAAAGACCTTCATGAGGTGTGAGCTGTACTTGTGAGTACAATTTTTTGTATTTCTTTAAGGTTTGGGGTACCAAACCTCTTCAATGAGTCTATCAGAACCTTTTCCTATCAATCCGTTGGCTCCAACTCCAATTGGAATTGTTGATATCCTCATGTACCACATTATTATTATTATTATTATTATTATTATTATTATTATTATTATTATTATTATTATTTCCTTTGATTACTGCTGTAAATTCATTTGCTCCTGGATTTCACCCAGATAATTTAACTCAGAAATTGCACCATGCAATCCCCGCTACACATTCTTTAAAAATAACACATATGAACATATAGGCATTTTAAAACAATAAAGCTGTTTGCAGAGTGTGAGCGGTGCTTGTAAGAACAATTCCTTATATATTGCTTAGACACGGACTACAATCTTCTTATCACGACCTTTCTCTGTCTCAATTATGACTGGAATTATTGATGTCTTTATGTGCCACATTCTTGAAATTTCAATCTCGAGATCTTTATATTTTGATCTTTTTGACGATCCGTAAATGTACACGAAAGTCTGCTGTAACAACCATGTCAATAAGAAAGCGCATTCATCTTTTTCTTTATCTCTTTTATCCATATGTCTTGCAATTAAGTTTGATTTTTTTTCTCTGTTCGTATTATAAAGTCCCATAAAATGTTTTTTGGTCCTACGTCTGTGATCTGATCTGAGTAGTGTTCGTATAAGTTTTTTTTTTTTTTTGCAGTTTAATTTCCATCTCTTCGCGTACAGATATTGGTCCAACCTGCCATTCCAAATTCTATATTCGAGGTAGAAGGATACCGGGTAAAGACGGTCAGTTGTTTTGGGATTTTTTTAAACAGAATATCTGTATTTGGCGTCAAGACAATTTTAGTATGTGTCCTTGATCTTTTCTATTTACAAAACATTGATTTTCGGCAGTAAGAATAAAACTGGGTTTCAGCTTTTAATCATTCACGTCGCAACCACTGATGGCTATAGGGTTTGTCAACATCACCTTTTTTGAAGCTGGCATAGTGTTTGCCATGAAGATATTTACCTACCATCACTTACAGATTTACTCTTTTGCCTTTTTAGGTTATTTACCATTAAATTTGTTGGATTATGACTTACTCCCTCTTATCTTAATCGACTTGAAATTCCTTTTGATAGTTTGCGGAAGACATTTTCTTATTTTTTAGTATGTTCTTTGAACGAGACCATAATTCTTTTTTCTATAGTTTCTAGTTATCTTTGGCATGCCGCCTGTTGTCATTTTAGAAGACAGTTCTAGTTGAACTAATCCTCTGCCTAATTTGGATCTGGATGCATACAGACGATCGACGTTTGGTTCATTGCATGCGCTTTTTCTTTGTTTCTTAGCTTTTTTGTCACTGCAGTAAGCGGATTATGGCTTAATTTTTCTTCTTCATCCACTTGAAATTCCCTTACTAATTTAAAATAATAATAATAGATTTTATTATTATTATTATTAATGACTAAGAGAGAGAGAGAGGGAGGGAGAGTAAAAGAGAAAAAAGGGAGAGAGAGGGAGAGAGAGAGAAAGAGAGAGAGAGAGAGAAGGGGCAACATCACCAACAAAGTAATGCTGGTGTACAAATATACGAATTCCAATATACTTATCATAACACCTAGTCAGATAAGTGTATAACAAGCACATTCAGCACAGCTAAATGTGCATAATATAGTGACAGGTTTTGAGAGAAGCAGCGCCAAACAGATATTTTTTTTATTGTTTCCACTTAAACTAAAGACGACTATTAACAAAAAAAAAGTAAATAAATGGATAAATCTATTAGAAATATTTTGGAGATTTCTGGAAAAGATGGCGAACACGGACATTTTTTTTTTGTTATTGTGTTTCCTCAATTTAAAAAAAAAAGCCATAGTACCAACGACAGCAGGAATGGATTTAGTTTTAAGTGCCGCATTTATTCAGTTTCCACGTCCATTTTTTTGACACTTTCCTAAAAAAAAACCTTGCTGAGATGTTTTTACATTTGGTATGCTTATGTCAATCAATTTACAAACATTTTCTTTAATGTCTATGATAATAATGTCTGGGGGATTTGCTTGTACTGTTCGATGTATTTTGATAGAAAAATCCTAGACGATGGTAACAACTGGTCCCTCCACTACAAATCCAGGATGATGTCTATACCAGTTTGCAACTGTTTTTGTCCCGTAGTGTTGACAGATATTTCAATGTAGATATTGACCCACACTGGCATTAAGGGTTTTGTATTCAGTGAGTATGAATATTAAGTAGCTGAGATAAAGTGATCAATAGTTTCAAGTTACTCATCAAAGAATCTACATTTTGTATCGGTACTATTATACAAGATATTAATTTGGTAGTTCCGTGTAAAGAGTCTTTAGGCCAGTGCAGCAAATAAATAAATAAAATAATAAAATTAACCGTAAATACTGAACAACTTATGTTGAGAATTGAACTACATCTACATCAGAATTTTTGCTTCCGTGAAGGAACAAGAAATAGAGATGTTTGTGGATCCAGCTTATTCTATTTCCATCTGGCCTTGCATTTTCACAAGCTTTTTTGCCACCAGTGGGTTGGGAATAGAACTACATCAGCATTTTTGTTTTAGAGAAGGAACTGGCTATGTGGAGGATTTTAGCTTTCGGCTTCTATTTGCATATAGGCTAGCATTTTAACTTCTTGATTCAGTTTTCTTGCCATCGGTCGCTCGTGAATAGAACTACATCAGCATGTTTTTCGGAGAAGAAAATGGCTCTGTAGAGGCTTTCGGATCCAGCTTCTCTTTTCATCTGGCTTAGCATTTTCACTTCCTAATTCCGTTTCCTTGCCACCAGTGGGTTGTGAATCGAACTACATCAGCATTTTTTGTTTCAGAGAAGGAACTGGCTATTATTTCTATTTGCATTTGGTCCCTCATTTTCTGTTCCTTTTTTTTAAATCTATTTCCATGATTTAACTCGAGTTTTTTTTTGCAAATTGTTTTGGTTTCTTTTGATACAGAATAAGTTTTCTACTTTTTTTTGAGCTCCAATAGGAATTGTATAAGAATCTCTTGTATAGCTGCAAGATACTTATAAAGCTTCTTTTTTCTTTTCCTTCTTTTTTCTTTTCCTTCTTCTTTTTTCTTTTCTGTTTTCTTTTTCTTCTTCTTTTTTCTTTTCTTCTTTTTTTCCAATATATTCATTTTCTTTATCTCTATATTCTATCTATAATAAAAAAGATGATTTAAGATTCAACGTCTATTCTCATTTCTGATTTTTCCGCTTTTCAATTTCTGTATTTTATAATAATGAAAAGTGTGTCAAATTTGGATTAAATTTACATCGAAATCCTAGAGCAGTTGGCTCTTTGCATTCTTTGGTAAACCTTACAAGTTTTGCCATTTTCGTATTGAAATCAGCCAAAACATTTTCCATTGTGTTTTGTTGCTTTAGTCCAAATATGTAGAACTGAATCATTTCTGGATTTCTTGAGAACGTTCAATTGCTACCCACGTAAATTGACAACATGACCCCACCCCATTATTTCGGCGTTGTACTAGTCGTTCCGAATGTTTTCTCTTTACAAAACACTTATACAATCCTACGTGTTCCTTAGTCCATCAGTTAGCATTTACTTTACATGCAGCTTATACGTCAGAAATAATCAAAACGCAATTGTCCATTATTTATGAGGTGTTAGAATGGTGTAATATACGAACTGATTAATTAAGAAATGAACTGACGTATATTATTATTATTATTATTATTAACACTTAGAAAATAGCGCGATTTAAGGAAAGAAAAGAAAACAGTTCTTGAAAATATTCAACACTATTTCGACTATTTATGTCTGGCTTCAATTTATGTTTAAAAATTGTATACACATATAAAAAGATAAAAAAATCTATTAGTAATCAACGCGTCAAAACAAGAAAATACTAAAACAAAAAAGTTATGTTTAAAATTTGCATAAAATTATAAAAATCTACAAAGTATTACAAGTAAAAATTTATTGTATATAAAATACAATTGTGGCACAAGGCCAAAAATCGGGGGTGGAAATGGCTGAGGCTGGTCATCACTTACTATCTTATACCTAGCTAATCACATTAACGACCCATTCACTCCTTACAATTTGCACATCCACCACAAGAACTTATCCATTATCATTCAATCTTTCATATACCACAATAGCGCATACTCTTAGGGGACTTACAAAAACAACCCCCGTCCTGGGCATGATGATAAACTGCATCCCTCGTCCAGGGTAAGACGATAAACTACGTCCAACAGCAAGGCCTCTGACCAGGAGGTTTTGAGGAGTGTGAACCTCCTCTTAATTGCTGGTGCTCCCAGGTTCACCCTGACCCGGGGTGGTAGCACCTGTTAGGGTCCCAGCTATGAGCAAATAGTTAACCGTCAAACCCAGATCTCATCCTGGGTATGACGATAAATTACATCCGCATCCTGGATATGACCATAAACTACGTCCATCCAGGACGTGGATGTAGTTTATGTATGACGATAAACTACATCCGCGTGCTGGGTAAGACGATAAACTACGTCCAACAGCAAGGCCTCTGATAATACGTTTTTGAAAAAATAATGTTGCTAGCTGTACGTTTTTGAAAAAAGAATATTACCCGCTATACGTTTTTTTGAAAGAATAGTGTTACAGGTTATACGTTTTTGAAAAAATAATCTTACCAGCGATACGACTTTAAAAAAAAATAATATTACCAGCTATACGTTTTTGAAAAAATAATATTGCCAGCTATACTTTTTTGGGAAAAGTAATATTACCAGATATACGTTTTTGAAAAAATAATATTGCCAGCTATACGTTTTTGAAAAAATAATATTACCAGCTATACGTTTTTGAAAAAATAATATTGCCAGCTATACGTTTTTGAAAAAATAATATTACCAGCTATACGTTTTTGAAAAAAAAATTAACGTTTTGAAAAATAATGCCAGCTATACGTTTTTGAAAAAATAATATTACCAGCTATATATTTTTGAAGAAAAAATATTAACAGAAATAGATTTTTGACAAAACAAAATTATTACCAGAAAAGAAAAAAGTTGCCGGCATTAAATGACCCATTGTGTTTAATATGCCGTAAAACAAAACAAACCAATCCAAACCAAAAACAACCCATGACATAAAAATTAACGATTATAAAATTTTATATCTAAAAATCTGTCGATGATATGTAATAAGGTGGGGGAGATATGAATCCCCAAACAAACTAAAATATCAAAACAAATACACAAACTAAAAGTATAACTGATGTTAAGTGGAACCGAACGTCAAACCCTCATAAGAATTAAGAGAAGCCACTGTATTCTGTCTTTTTTTTGTACTTGTAAGTACAATCTTTTGTATTTCTTTAAGGCATGAGCTACCATGGATCCCTTCAATTAGTCTATTGGGATATTTTCCAATAAATCAGAGGGCTCCAACTACAACAGGATTATTATTATTATTATTATTATTATTATTATTATTATTATTATTTTTTTGATTTCTGGCGTTTATACATTTCTTTCCGATCCCGCCCAGGGACCTCAGGTTAGAAATGGCATCATGACACTTTCCACTGACAAAAAAAAAAGAAAATCTATTACATAGATAAAGCCCTTCGTAAAGTGTGGGCTGTACTTGTCAGAACAATTTTTTGTATCTCCTTGAGGCATGGATTTCCAGGAATCCCTTCAATGAGTCTATTCGAATTTTTCCAACCAATCCTAGGGCTCCAACTACAACAGGGATTGTTGATGTTCCCATGTGCCATATTTTCGAGATTTCTATTTCAAGGTCCTTGTATTTTGACAGCTTTTTGAATATCTTCAAAGATACATTGCAGTCAGCAGGGACTGCCATATCAATAAGAAGGAACTTTTTTATTTGTGGTCTTTAATTACAATATCTGGGCGGTTGGCTTTGATTGTTCTGTCAGTGTGTATTGTGTAGTCCCATAGAATTGTAACTATTTATTATTATTTATTATTATTATTATTATTATTATTATTATTATTATTATTATTATTATTATACGGATAACAGATAAAATTAAAATTACCAAGAGCTCCGAAGAAAGGTAACGTGTTTGGTGCCATTATCAGACATGCTCTGAAGGGATACTGTAAGAAGAAGAAAAAGGAGAAGAAGAATTGGAAGAAGGTCTCGATAAAAAGCGTGAATAATTTTCATTTCAACAAACCTTATCTTTCGATACAGAACCTAAATTCCTAATAAAAGAAGCCAGAGTTAATAATGAACCACGTGGTACGAGTGATACCTGGCGATAAATATTGTATTATTTGATAAGAGTATCATTCCGATGAAGATCTTGAAAGCAAGCAGATGTTGAAAGAACAACATATTAGATGAATGTCGAGAGAAAAGAACAACAAAGAAAACGACAATAAAGATGGAGGAAAAGACATGGGAGGATGAGGAGAATAAGAAATGTCGAAAGGTGTTTTTTTTTTTTTTTTTAACTGGGAAAATCAAGTCAGAAGCAGTAAGGAACTACAAGTAAAAGGAACAGATCACGTGAGAAAAAGAAACCTATATCAGATATGTGACCGAAAAAAAAAAGATAATAAAACAAAACAGAAACCATGATTTTATCGTCTCGCTCTTTTTAATACCGGCCGGGATATCTGCCGCCGTTTTATCGTGTTTCTAAGTCGTATTTCATTGTTGATGTGGAGCTGCCCTTTATCAACGACGTAATGCGATTTTAACTTTATATGGCGGATAAACATGGATGGATTACTCTGAAATTTCTCTTTTACGACATTTTACTGGTCGTTAGAGGCGATAATGCTAACAAAGGTGCCTGTCATTTGTATTTTCCAACGCTCTTTTACTATACAGTTATCACTGTTGAATTATCGGCTCTACTACTATCATCGAAATTAAGCAACGTCAAGACTTGTCAGATGAGTTACCGAATGGGAATACCAGGAACTGTAGGCTTGGATTTGCGGGGGGTGTAATTAATAAAGGCTCAGAATTAGAAATCGGAGAGTCAAGTTCCAATTCCAGTCGGCTTTGTTATATATATTTATGCGCCAATACCCTTGGTAAAAGTATGGAGCCTCTCACAGCTATGACGTATAAGTAAATCATTATTAACCACAAAAGATTCTTATAGTTTAAAAAACAAATATTTTTGGTTTTAAAAAACCTGATTTCTTAGACTATTAAAAGAGAGCAATTCATTTTGGAAGCGTTAAAATAAACAAGCCATTTCTTGCCCCATTGAACGACGGATTGAAGTCATTATCGGGATCAGTTACCAATTTGACTTTGTCAAACGTATCAGGATTACTATTAAGAATGGAGTAAATAGATGTATCATTGGCATAGATACCGAGCTGAGAACTGATGACATCAGGAAGAAAAAAATTAGGAAGAAAATAAGTCCGTGGATAGCACCCTTGCTGACACATGCATTTACTTTGAAGAATGACCGTTCTAAACAACTTTAATTTTATGATTTGATAAGAAAGACGGAATCAAATCAATATATTATTATTGGTATTACAAACGCAATTTTCTGCAATATCAGGGTTTTTTTTATACCATATCCCTTCAGAGCTTAGACGAACGTGTCTCTCCACAGCTACCATTTCTTTATTATTTGTGAATTGCTGTCATTTCTTAAGAAAGATGGTAAAGTTAGAAACAAAGGAATAGTTGTCTTTCCCACAGTTTTTCATTTGAAGTTGTCCTGCTTGATTGGTTGCATATACCCCGCTATTTAACCCATTGCTGGTAGGAAGAGATACCGATTGGTTCCTTTACCAAGTTTGAAAATGAAAGCAACGAACTAAGGCCAGTATTTCAATTCGGTTCGTCCTAAAAAATTAAAATAATAAGGACTGTATCACTAAAATCCGATTTCTATATGGTTGAGTCATAAATAAGTTTCATTTTTTTTTGTTTATCAACTCTCCAAATATAAATTACAATTACATTTTATTCAATTATATATTTAGAACTTTTTGTAATGTCTTGTGGCAGGTAACTCTTCGATAGCTATTGTGTGAAATTGCACAAGTATTGACGTGAAAACGGTTTCGACTAACAATCTGCTTTTCATCAGAGAAAGCTTTAAAGGAATCGCAAAAGGCAGTAACAGATTGGTGCAAGGACAGGTAAATATTGCTGTTAGGACGAAAGAGACTAACCGACTTCCAATTTATTTTCCTGTTTTAGTCTCGCTGTATGCAGTTTGCGTTGTCATGGGAGAGAGC